GCAGAGGGGGTCTGGGTCGTGGATGGATCGGGATTGGAGAGCTATGGTTGGTAATGGTGGTAGTCTTCATCGTCGGCAGCAGTGTTGAACAGGCCGTTGCCGGTCGGAATCCCGTTCGACAGTCGTGGGTTTGTCGGAGGCTGGACTGTCCCGACTACAGGACTGTTTATGAAGGGCCCAACTTTGAAGTCCGACAGTATGAGCCTGCCACGTGGCTGGTCACACATCCTGTCACAACCTTCTCGTTCGAGACTGCCACGTTTGTTGGCCTCCGTCCGATCTTAGACTACATCCAGGGGCATAACTGCAATTGGACACTCGTCCCAATGACGGCGCCACTGGTTACTTCTGTGGTCCTAGGGGCGGGCCCATTTGCCTCCTCGGGGTTCCAGGTCCTGTTTCTGGTCCCCAAAAGCTTGGCCGACAATCCTCCGGTTCCCTTAGCGGACTCAGGTTTGGTAGTGGATCGGTGGAAGGGAAGGCGATGTATGATTGTGAGGAAGTTTTCCGGATTCGCTAAGGACAGAAGCGTATTGACGGAGGCGGCGGCGCTGGCCGCAGCTCTTCCTGGAACGAATTGGGAGCCAGTTCTGGACCAGGTGCGGACGAAGGGCGACTCGGCGTATTCCATAGCGCAGTACGACCCCCCGTTCGAGATTTTCCAGCGGATGAACGAGGTGTGGGTAAATTTTCAAGCAGTGGATGCTGAGGAAGAATATAGCCAATGCTTGCCGGACGTGGAGCCTCCTCCCGTACCTCCTACCCCACCTAGCACCGAGTCTCCTGCCGAAGCTGATCTCTTGCAGATCAATTTCCGATAAAGCACACGCGGTTCCTCCCAAGCACACACACGCGCACACACACACACACACACACACACACACACACACACACACACACACACACTTCAACCTCCTGATGCGTCCGTGAAAGAAAGACGAAACAGTCTGTTCGGTACAGTCATGCTTTTTTTGAGTGTATAGCGAATATGACATCACACACACACACACAGAGAGAGAGAGAGAGAGAGAGAGAGAGAGAGAGAGAGAGAGAGAGAGAGAGAGAGAGAGAGAGAGGTCCTCTTCTAACGTTTGCAACGAGGCTGGCTGTAGATATTCCCGAAGTGTATGTGTTGCGGCGGCTGAGTTTCTCAGAAGCCACCCGTACCTCCTCCTTCTGAACGTAAGGTCTTCCGCTAGAACATGGGAAGGGGAAGATACACCGCCATATTTTTTCTTCTGTAGTGTTGGGGGAGGGGGGGGGCGGGAGGGGGGTTAGGAGGATGAGAATATTCTACAGTGGACGGATTACATAGCAGAAGAAGAAGTTTGTGGATGGAATTGTGGATATAGGGGGGCTCACTCCACTATTGAGCACATGTGCAAAAAATGAGAGAATGAATCTTCGGCTAGAACATGGGTAGATACACCGGCATATTTTTGTCTTTTATGAAAGTTCCTATTAGGGGATATAGTTGTGCATACTCGGATCGGATCAGATCGGATCGGATCGGATCGGATCGGTTTGGATTGGAGAGTGGATGGGATCAATGCTGAGGGTCGTTGCTTGAGGGGGTTTGTAATAATTTTAAATGTACGAGGGGGTTTGTAATAATTTTCAATAATTTTAAATGTGCTGAGGGACTTTTACCAAGTTTTTAGGTAATGCTAGACTAAGTATGTTTCTGGATGTAATTGAGGCCAAGTTCATCGAGGTGCTGCCGTAATTGTGGTCAGATAGATTTAAGAAAGTGCTAGTGTGAGTTTGCCCTAAGTGCTTGAGGGTTCATAATTTTTTTTTTTTTTACGGCAGTAAATTATATGACAGGATTGGATACCAACGGGCCTGTAGCACAGTGGGTACACCCATCAGCTGTTGTAATGCAGACCCATGTTGGAATCCAGATGACCTAGATAAATTGTGTGTGTGTGTGGGGGGGGGGGG